TTGTGCTCCTCTGCAGCCCAGCAACCCCCCCCTGCAGACATCCCGGAGCGTGTTCCCCTGTCTTTCTTGAGGTGGGTGGCATTGCTGGTAGGTGTAGGACTTGACCACTGCCCTGGGAGGTTGGGGTGGGTGCAAGAAGAGGAGGACAGGTCAGCAGCGATGTGCTAATGCCTCTGTCCTTTGGAGCACAGTGGGCTGGTGGAAAGGGGCAAAGCAAGAGATGGCAAGGAGAGAGAAGAGCAGGGGCCTAGAGAAGCTGGAGGAAAGTTTGCAGATGACCCCAGATTGGGAGGACTGGGAGGATGCTCAAGGGTTTTGAGGCCAGCCAGGACAAAGCCCAGAGCAGCGTAGTCTGAACCTAGAACAGCCTGAGGTCTGGCCAGGGCATAGGGGTTGGATGTGAGAGCCCCTGAGGGATCCTCTCCCGCCTGGATTTTCCTCCTTGTCTAGAGAAGACACTATTGGGTGGTTTTCAGGAGGGTGGTTTTGAGCACACCTCAGTGGTCAGCCGGAGGATGAGGTGCAGGTTTGCAATCCTGCTTTGGACCTACCTGGGAGGCTGCAGCTTCTCCATGACTTGAAGCGTGACCAAGAGGAAGATGAGGAGGCTGAAGATGACCCAGTACCGACCTGGCTGGCACCTGTATATTGCTTTCAACTTCCTGCAAGGAAGCAGACGTTTCAGACCATTAGTAGGTAGAAGAAATGCATGTGTGAGGCAGAGGGGAAAGACGCCTTGAGACTTTAAAAAAATTTTTTTTTTAAAGTAAGGTCACGTTTTCATGGGTGGAAGAGATGCAGAGGCAGTGATAACCAACGAACCTCAGAGGCTGTGCTCAAGCAGTGTAGCTTAGTGGAAATTTCCATCAGGGACACAAATATCACACTGAAAGGTAAACAAGTGATAACCACAAAGTGCCTTGGCTGCTCAGGGACGCCTCACTGGCACAGCCTGAGCTCCTGCTTCAGCAGCAGGAACAGGCACTGCTTGCATCTTTCCTGGCCTAGAAATATTGGGACCCTATCTTTATTAAAAAAAACAATAAAACTTTGTTTTGCCTGCTCTCCCCTTTTCTCAATGCCTGCCATTGGAGGTGATTGCCACCTTCCCAGGCTGCAGATGTGATGCTACCATGGGGGCCCCAGCTGTGCCTCTCCAGTGTGTGACCTGGCTTTTAGTCTGATTTTAGCCAAATTTATGACAGCAGTGTGATTTCTTCAAGTCATCAGCACTAAGCTATGGGGGTTTGGGTTGTGTATGGGGACATTCAGGCCATGAAAAAACATTGCCATGGGACTTTTACTATTTGTAGGGCTTGCTGCAAACCCTGGTGGAGCTTGATTGTAGCCTTAATCTTAGTCTCAATCCTAAGCAGAGCAGCTGGGGGACTAAGCTTCCTGGAAAAAAGGATTAGTTTGCATTTCATTTCTGCTGGTTTCTACCCAGGGAACATATTGTTGCCTAACCGGAGATGATTTGTACTGAGAATCTGGTTAAATCCTCTGATGTGGGCTCCTCCTTGGGTGGGAGTCCAGCCTGCAAGCCCCAGATGTCTGCTCTCCCCCTCTCTGAGTGAGGGAGCAGGCACAGGCTGCTTTGCTGAGCATGAACCGGAGGAACAGGAGGAATTAATGAAAGCAGAAGTTTAGGCAGAGCCTGCTTGGAAGCCGCATTCTGACAGATAATCTGTGTTCATTGATGTTGCCTGCTTCCTTTAGTGGGCCTGGGACTGCACAGACCTGCTTGTCCTGGAGCATCTTAATCTCCCTGGTGCTTTACCTCCTACTCCGGGCAGTCTTGTGACACATGGGAGAACTACTACCTTGATGAGCTAGCAATGATGCAAACATGGGCTGCCTGAAGTGGTCACTTGCATGCTACTGGTACTGGTCAGGAATTTGGCTTTGCTATTGAAAAACTGCATTTGTTCCAGAAAAATTGTCGACTGTTGCTACTAATGGTAGTTTTCTTATTACAGCTCTACTTCCAGTGGCTGCACATCAGTTTGGACACTCAGGGTTATGGTTCTGCTCTGCTCTCAATAATGTCACTTATTGGGTTGAAACGCTAAGCTCCTCCTAGGAGATTTTTAATGTCTAAAGTACTTGGGACTGTAAAGGCTGTGGGGTCTTAGGTTATGACAGTGCTACTGAGGATTCAAAAGGCATGTAATTACTAGCATGGTGAACAAGCTAGTCAGCAGCACAGCATCCCTAAAACCTGATGATAACCTGGAGCTATCCATGCTCATTTTGCACTTGAGGAGCAGATTGCCAAGCCCGGATGAGAGACAGGTGGCTGGCGAATGTGCGCAAGCAGCACAAGAATAGCCTCGTGCTGTCAAAGATGAATGGGTATGACAAGCAACAGATCAGAAAAATGTCAAATGCTTAAACAGTGCTTAAAATGCCAAGACACATTAAGGGGAGAGGGTTGAAGTGGAGACTCAGGGCTGCCCCACAGCTGCTGCAAGGCAAGGCTTGTTGAAATACTCCTGTGTGGAAGATCACTGATGGGCAGAGAGACCAAAGAGGGAGAAGGCAGTGAAGGAGGAGTTGCTCTAGGATGAAGTGATACTGCTGGACAGATCTTGTTGGAGACTTGAGCCAACTCTCCCATCACTCAAGGCACAGCTGATGGTAAGTTTGTCTGCCTGGCCAACCTAAGAAAAGCAGCAAGAAGGGAATGAAGAGCTAACTAACTGTGATATTTAGCAATATACCCAAACTCTCTCAATGGGGAGATCTGCACAAGGACCCAGTAGTGAAGGCAGAATGATGCAACACTTCCCTGGAAAGCAGTGCGGAGGTAGGCAGCACCCTCTGTTACTCTGGTATCTGTATTTTGTGCAGATATAGTTCTGGACTTGCTTCCACAGAGGTCCCTGGTCAGTACTAAACTTTCAACCTGTAGAGAATCTGTGAAAGATCCAGGTCATTTTGCTGCTAGCCTGCTGCCTCTTTTGAGATGGGTGTTGTGTTGGTTGAACAACCAGTTGAGAACAACACAACATGTTGCTGGCTGCTTGGGTCTAATCACGCTAGCATAAAGCCAGAGCCCTTTCTCCAGGCTGGCTCTGGTGGGACACACGTGCATCAGGGAGGGTGCACTGAGTAAAGCGAGAGCTGTGGCAGCAGCTGAAGTTTGTGCTGAAGATGCCAAGAAGTTGCACTGAAGGCAGCAAAACCAGGATAAAATGGCACATGTAGCATGACAAGCCTTTGTCTTGGAGGCTGGAGCAGCTGCATGATTTGTAGCTGGATGATGAGCCTTCAAAAGGCTCAACTGCTTTCCATGTGTAACTCCATCACAGCCTCCTCTCAGTTTAATATGCCAGGATGAGATCATGGGTGTGTGTGTCTTGAGGCAGAGTTAAATACTTGAGATCAAAGCACCGGGAAGATGTCCAAGAAGCACTCAGAGCTGGCGGGAGTCAACGCTGGCCCATAGGGCGGGGTGGACTGCAAGAACAACGTGCAGAGTCTTTGGAAATGCCTCTGGCTGCAGGCAGGCTATAGCTGAAGAGCCCCTGCAGATCAGAGCCTGTATGCTGTCACCTCCAAAAGTGACAAAGCAGGGTGCAAAGATGGATGCAGCACCCCAAAGATGCCTTTGGGTGCTAGGGCTCAGCAGCAGAGCAATAGCAACTGAATCCTCCTATGCTGGCTCAAGGGATTTAATCAAAACCCAGTCTGTTGGTCATTTATTTGCAAGGGATGATGCCTCCAGCCATGTCCTGCTGCCTGCTCCTGGTGGTGGTGGTGGTGGGGTGCCTGGGGCTCTGCTTGGAAGAAGGCGCTTCTTGATTGCAGCAGTACTGCAGATTTCCCCTCCATTTTTTCTCCTAAGCTTGAAGCAGAGAGGATGACCTGCTTCCCTCCCACCTGTGCCTCTTCCCTGTCCAACACAAAAATAAATGCACCAGTTGGGATGGGTCTGTGGTCGGCTGGCACTTGCTGAGCCATGCAGGGTCTCAGCTGACTGCTGGGTGCTGCAGGAGGTGTCGAGGCTGAGTTCACTGGGCAGATAGGTGGCAAAAAATGACTTTATTGATTTGCTCTGGCTAGATACGCTCCAGGCAGTGAGCAATGTTGCATGGGGAATTAATGTACACAATATGTACACCAGCGATAGCCTGCTTCCTCTGACCAGCGATTGGAGCCATTTTCTTCCTTTGTTTCACAAGAAATGAGAAAATGGGGACAGCGGTCTGCAGGACACTCAGGAGAGGATAAGTAGTGCAGCAAGGGCATGACGGCACTGCCTGCCTGTGTCAGTACCCAACCTATCCTTGAAACAGCTGGGTTAGGAAAGACCCTGAGCCTCCTAGCGCTGCAGCTTGGTGTGCAGCAGCAGGGTGTGCAATGCCCCAGATGCTGCAGGCACACGTGGAAAGGCTGTCCTGCCCCAAAATGCTCTCCCCACAGCAAAAGGGCACTGCTGCAAAGTCAAGCCTTGCCCTTCTCTGCTCCTCTCTAAAATAGAGGCTGTGGAAGAGCACACCTCACCCTAGATGCATTCTTTGGTTTGGCCATGTAAAAGACTCAGAGACACACGTTTCTGCTCCACATCTGCTCCTCAGGTGAGTGTGCAAAGCTGACAGCTGTGAGCCCTTGCCTGGGACAAGGCAGGAGGGATCAGCATCCTACTTGCCCCACGAAGGTTTTGCCATTCTTCTTCCTTTGCGGTATCAGGCCTTACAAAAGATGCTGTTTTCCTGCCTAGCACACAGGGGAGCGGTGCTGCCCTTAGAGCTTCACTAGAAGAGAGAGCCCCATTAACCCACACCTCTCTGCATTTATGCAGAGCAGAAGTGCTCCTATGCCCGTTCCCATCATCACTTCAATCTCTAACCATTTCTCAACACAGAGGGACCTACAAGGACGTGACGTTTGGGTAGGATGGAAGTAGAATTTTACTGAAGGAAATAAATATTTTACTTATATAAATAAATAAATAAATAATCCACTTACATGATCAAATACCTTCTGAATTTCAGCATGGTGAGCTGGAGCCTTGGCTGTGGAGCCGGTAGTTATCACCAGCCTAGGAGAATGGAAAGCAAACACCCAGAGCCTGGCTTGTGTGCCTGCGGCCGGTGGCCCCTCCCTGGGGGAAGCGCCTGGGATAGCGAGCCCGCAGCAGACCTTCCCACCGGTGCCCTGCTCTCCAGAACCTGCCCCAGGGAGCGACCAGCCTCCGCTCTAGTGAGTGGCACATTTACACGGCTGTGGCCTCGAGGGCTGCTGGCAGCAAGCTGCCTTCTGCAAACCACTGCCACATCGTGTCAGTGGTGGGCAGGCTGGTCCACGTGCTTGTGGACACTGCGGGGGCTGGCCATGTCCCCCATGTCTGCGCCCCTCCCTTACTCCTTGGTTTCACCCATGGCTGTTGATGTTCTGCTTTGACACCTCATGTCCTCCTGCTCTGCTCTTTGTGGTTGTCCCTTCTTTTCCCTTCTCATGTCCCGCTTTTACTTCTTGACAAAGCTGAGGACAGAGATGGCTTGGTCATGAGAGTTTAGCTCTTGATAATCCCTATGTTGATACAGCCTTTAGGTCTGTGCTGCTGAGACCCTGTGCAGGCTGCGTCACACCTGCATGGCATGGAGCTAATCCTCTCCAATGCAACCTGGCTCCATCCACCCTGGGCTGGGGTTATGGCAATCCCCAGCTGCCTCCTTTGCTTCCCCTCGCCATACTCACTGCTCCAGGCACAGCATTTAACCACCTGCGACTCCAGGCACTGCTTCACATGTGGATGTCTTGCATTTGCCATCTTCTGACTGGCCTCCCATGTTCCCCCAAGCCAGCAAAGTCCTCAACCCCCTGTGTTGGGACTGTGCTGTGCCAGGATGACCAGCAACAGGACAGCCCTGCTAGGAAGCCAACTGTTTTCCAGTAGCAGTAGAAAAATGATCACTGCATCTGCTTCTTGCTGGCTGGTGGACAACATAAGACAACTCAAAGGTGGACTGGGAGGCTGCCCTCCATGATGGACGTCCACAGCCGGTCCTTTGACCAGGGTCTCCTCCCTCTTCAGTAGCTTTCCCTCCACATTCTTCCCCTTTGAGACTCATTCCAGCGTCCTGCATAGCATCAGCAAGACACAGTCACGGCTTTGTGTGACCAAGGGCCCTAAGCCCAAGTAGTGGGACCACACACTTCTCACATTTGGGCACCAGACACCTGGGGTGGTGGTGGACATGGAGGCTGCATGGCTGTGATGTGTGCCATGAGGACCAGTGGCTCAGGCTGTGCGACACCCATTCTGCAGGACCAGGCTCCCCATGTGCCTCCTGGCACCAATGGAGAGTACTCTGGCAATGTGTGCTTTCCCTTCACCCATGCCTGTGGGTCTCAGGAAATACGTATCAGGCAGATAAGTCAGTTCCAGCCCAGACCTTGGCTTTCTCAAGGGACAAAAGGGCCCAGCTTCCTCCCTCCCCCCTCGCAGGTAGGGAGGCAGCTGTTCCCCTCACCCTGGCACAGGCAGGTGCTGCCTCTCCCCATCCACCTCACTGAAAGCACACGTTTATTGTGGGGCTGTCACATTCCCCACCCATCCAGTGCTCTGGCTATCCACCCAGGCTGGCAGCTTATCTGGGAGTCCAGGGCTGGGTGAGAGCCATGGGCTAGCTCACTGTTTGCAGGGATCAAACCCCTTTCTGCTGTTGGGAGTGAGGGTTGGTGCTTCTCCCCTCTCCTTCCCTCTGCACAACCATGCCCTGTGCAATCTGAGATGGATAAGCCTGCTTGGGGGGCCATGGTGATGTGGGGTAGGTAGGTGGCTGAGGGGTCTGCGAGCATCCCCCAGGCAGGACCTTGGGGGACATCCTATTGCTGCAAGGCATGGGGGCACCCTTGCCTGTGAGCACCCAGAGGCTCATCAATGTGAGGGTGCCCAGACTGGCTTGATCCTGCTCCTCTCTGGTTGTTTCCTCTTGCTGGATTGCCACTTGTGGGATTTGCTGCTGCTCAGCTCACTTGTTTCCCTAAGGATAAGCCTATCTGTTCATGGGGATCTCATGGGAGGTCCAGTTTCGGTCTGTAATCCTGGTCAGGATTGCACATATTCCTGTTTGCTGCCTGGCAGCCTCTTTCTTGGGCATGACTTGATGGCATCTGCAGAAGAGAAACTCAAAAGGCAAAATTGTCTGCTCCTGCTGGGATCTCGTGATGTGAAGCACAGCATATGGTCTCATCTGCCTGCACACTTCTTGTGTTGGAGGCCACATCTGCAGGACCTCAACAGCTCTCTTGAGCTGCTTCTGTTACCTTGCATCCCAGAGAGGCTGTTTTGGAGCATGATCTGGATGGGATGGGACTCCACTTGTGGACCAGTGTCTGAGGGCCTTGGTGGAGATGGCAGTCCTCTGAGATTACACCCCGTGGTCTCTTCTCTCCCACGGATGCTGGAGCAGGAGTCAGGATATGGGCAGGCAAATGCATCTTTTGCAGCTGTGTTTCTTGAGAAGCGAAAGGTGCCCTTGTAGGAGAGATTGGGCTCTGTCTCTGCTCACTGGGCAGCTGGGTCCTACTGGGGTGACCTAACAGGGTCATAACTTTTGGGTAGGTGTGAGGAGTGTCCTGGTGATGCAGAACTGCCCCAGTTGCCTGCTGCTGAGTATGACTATTATAGGGTCATCATACTACGATGGTATGTGCGCCCTCCTAGGTGGGTGCACATTCACTGCCTGGGGATGGGCTGATCTCAGCAGAAGGCAGATGAGGACCCCCAAAGACTCCAGTCCCTTCCTGTCCCCCGTCCCAGTACTCTCACCCCCGCTTAAGATGATGAGCAAGGAGACGTCAGCTTGCCTTGTGTCCTGGTTTCAGCTGGGATAGAGTTAACCGTCTTCCTAGTAGCTGGTACAGTGCTGTGTTTTGAGTTCAGTACGTGAAGAATGTTGATAACACTGATGTTTTCAGTTGTTGCTCAGTAGTGTTTAGACTAGAGTCAAGGATTTTTCAGCTTCTCATGCCCAGCCAGGGCACCTGACCCAAACTGGCCAACAGGGTATTCCATGCCATGTGACGTCCCATCTAGTTTAGGAACTGGGAAGGGGGGGGCAGGGATTCGCCGCTCGGCGACTGGCTGGGGGTCGGTCGGCGGGTGGTGAGCAATTGCCCTGCGCATCATTTGTACATTTCAATCCTTTTATTACTACTGTTGTCATTTTATTAGTGTTATCATTATCATTATTAGTTTCTTCTTTTCTGTTCTATTAAACCGTTCTTATCTCAACCCAGGAGTTTTATTTCTTTTCCCGATTTTCTCCCCCATCCCACCGGATGGGGGGGGAGTGAGTGAGCGGCTGCGTGGTGCTTAGTTGCTGGCTGGGGTTAAACCACGACACCTTGAGACACCCAGGACCTTGCCACCTCATGCAATGGCTTCCCTGCTTGGCCTGGCCATGGCTTGGAGGGGCTGCTGGTGGGTTTTTCCCAGGGCTGTTGGACAAGATGCACCTGCACCTGGAAAGCAGGCATCTCTGGTCCATTTGCAAGCCTGTACCTGGGGTTGAGGTGAAGAGGAACATGTGGAAAGGTGACTGCCTCTCTGGTGAGGAGGAGAGGAGACCTGCGACCCAGATTTCCAACCCTGGCGCTGGACCAATTGCTGGAGCAATGTGGTGTGAGGGAGAGCACAGGGGTTTGCAAGGGCTTGAGCCTCACTGTAACATCAACTAGCTGTCTGCCTCCCTTCACCTGTGCCTTATTCCTTTTCCTGCTGTGTGGGGACTACTTCAGCATAAAAATAACACAGCAGAAAGCTGCATGTGTATTTTTGTTTGGTCTTGCTAGAGGCAGATATGTTTGCTATCAACAACACTCCTTGCTGAGCCCCAAGGCGTGAACAGCTGCCTTCAGGTGGGCAGCACAACAGATCTCCTTGCAAAGGTGATGAGCCAGCAAGGGTTTTCCAGGCAGGAGCAGCGAAGCTTTATTCTCCTGTGAGAGCTAGGATGCCAAGACAGTGCTGTGAAAGCGAGGTGCAGGAGAAAGGCCACCGCTGCTCTCTGGGACAATCTTTTCTTTGGCTAACGAGAAAGGGACTGATGTCTTTGCATGTGTTGGCAAGAGGGAGGCAACTGTAGCCTGGAGGGTACAGGCAACCAGGGAGGTGTCTTTGTAGAGAGCAGAGACTGGGGTCCTGGGGGCATATGAGGAAACTGCTTCTGGGCTTTGCCAAGAGAGGTTGGGGCAACCCCTGGGGATCTCCTGGGATGGGAGCAGCCCATAGAGGTTTCCTTAGCAGGGACTGGAGAGGGATGAAGCTCCTGCTGGAAATGGCTCCTTACTTTTAAAGTCAAAGCAGAACATCTGCAAAATAAATGAAAACTTCTCTGTGTCTAAAAGCAGCAGACAATGATACTTAAATTCCATGCGAAGCCATTAACTGGAGGGGGAAAAACAGAGTGCTACAGAAAAGCCATACCCAGGGTTAAAATTATCCTGGGAAGGGCCAGGGGTAAAAATACTACTGATCTCATGTTAGAGGAGCCTGGAAGACCTCTTGGCAGTGCCGGGGGCGGGGGGGGCAGACTTCCAAAGAAGCCCAGCTGGTGAGAGGGGCTGAGGAGCCCTCCCACAAGGGAGGACTGGAGGTGGCACTGGTTGCATCTGTGGTGGCAGTCCAGGTACCTGAAGCCAGAGTCTCCTGGCTTGAGACTGTTGTCCCTTTGCCTCATGCAGGTAGCTAGACTTCGAGGACCTGGAAGGAGGTTGTTGCCACTGGGATAAGTCAGGGAAGGCATGTCCAAGGCTGGACTGGGTCCCATTCCTCACTGAGGATGACCACAAGGTCCTGTCTCCCACTGTCTGGTCCCCGCTGTGCCTGTGCTGCCCATGCTGCCTGTCCAGGCTCCACTGGCCCATCTCTCATCACATGCTCACAGCATCCCATCAGGAAACCTCTAAACCTACCTCTGGCTCTTGGTTCAGGTCCTTAGTCCTAAGGTCACCTGGTGCTGCTGCCTCCTCCCACCCTGCAAGAAACGGATGAGCTGTGTCTGAAGCTGGGGATCTGCCTTTTACAGGTGCAAAAGTACAACCTGAGCTGGTGCATAAAACGGTACCTTTCAGCAATGCCACAATTTATTATCCTGACCCTGGCAAGAGAGAGGAGCATGGCTGTCCTGCAAGTCCTGCATGCTGCCAAGGCTGGCAGGGCTGTTCCCTGCCCACATTGCTGCAGCATTCCCCCCCTACCCTCACCCCCCACCCCCCATCTTTATTTCTTTGCTTTCTTTTTTTTTTCCTCTGTGTGTACACTTTGCTTAAGCAAGGACTTATCTTCATCATTTTCTGCCTACATGTGGTTAGTTTGGCCATGTCATTTGTACCCTGGCGGCCTGCAGCTTGGTGGATCTCAAAGTGGGGTGAAAAGATGAGAAGTTTGTATGCGTCTCCCCAGCAGCGAGTCAGCCCCAGACGCAGTGGTGGATTGGGGAAATTAGGGTCTAGGACATCCCGGTTTCCTAGGTCTGCAGTCATTCCCGCACAACCCCTGTTGGAGAGAAACTTCAGAGAGGGAAGAGCTTTGGCCCCCACTCCCAGAAAACGTTTTGTGCAGCTTTTCTGTTTGCTTTTCAGACCAGTTTCTAGACAGAACTATTCACGAAACAACCTACGATAATTTCTAGATGACTTTCTCCAGGGAATCCAGCACACTGTGTTATCAGTAATGTGCAAGTTTGCTTTCTGAGTCGTTTTGAAATCTATCACACACTGGGCCTCCCCTTCCTCTGCTGGGCAGCCACTGGTCCATTAGCACCTACCTAAATTGATATTTAGTTAATTTTACCCTTTGCAGAGTGAGTGAGGCATGCCCATTTAATTAGTTTCTATTAGCTTCAACAGCTCTCCTGTGACATTGAAGTCAGCCTGCTGCTCCACAGTGGCATGCCCATTGATACCAGCTCCCTCTGAAAGGATGCTCAGGGCCAACAGGAGCAAATACATCCAGCTGGGAAGTTGGGAGCAAAGCGTGGAGAGAGCTGAGCGCAGGATTGTTGCTGATGTGCTGTGGCTGCTGGCTTGTATGGGATCCCCGCCGATATGGGGACCCTGTCCCAGAGGGGATGAGGCAGAGCCTGTGCCAGCACCAGGCAGAGCTCCTCTTGAGCGTGATGGCTGAACAACAGCTGGATGTGCTCAAGTTTAGGTGAGAAGTACGTCATTGCTTCTGGCCATATGCTTTTCGGCTTGCGTTGGGACTTTGGCCCTAACCACACACAATTTGTTCTTTAATCTCGGTCACTTTATCAGAAGCCTTTGAACAACCAAATACATCTCCACTCACCTTGGGAACAGGCTTTGCCCCTTCTTTTTGGTTGGTTTTGTTTCCTTGCCAGAGACCTCTGAGAGATTAGAGTGATCCCTCACAAACCCGGGCTTTGTCTTGAAGCCTCTGAAGCCTGCAGCACCAGCAGCACTTGGGTGCTGTATATTTTAGGGTGGCTTTGACATTAGACTAGATTCCTCAGGGCCTTGTAGGATCCAGGATCTTCTGAACAATTCCTGATGACTGTCCATGTCTTCTTCTCCAAAGACACCAGGTTACATGTTACTGGGAGGACTTGCTGGTCCATCTGTAAGTGTCTGGAAGCAGAAACAAAAGTGGGCATCCCAACTGTGAGGTGCCACGGGCTCTCTTCAGCAGAGGTGGAGAGAGGCAGCTCCCGTGGGTGACTTGCATGCATTTTTAGTTTGCTCCCATTGCCTCTTGTCCTGTCACTGGGCACCACTGAGAAGAGCCTGGCTCCCTCCTCTTCATTCCCTCCCATCAGATGTTTATACACATCTGTGAGGTCCCCCCAAGACCACACTTCTCTGGACTGGACAGCCCCAGCTCTCTCAGCCTCTCTTTGTACAAAGGATGCTTCAGACCTTCATCACCTTAATGGCCTTGCATTGGACTGGCTCCAACAAGGGCATCTCTCTCTTGTACTGGGGAGCCCAGAGCTGGACACAGCACTGCAGATGCGGCCTCACCAGTACTGAGCAGAGTGGGAAAGGAGGCTGCTGGAGCTCTGGAAGCTATGTTTGACCTGGGGATGGCCAAAGACATCATTAGGACTCTCCATGGCCAGTGGGAGTCCTGTGCAACTGCATCTGACCTGGAGGACTGGGTAAGTGCTGATTCTAGTCCTGGTTCTGCCTCAGCCAGCACCTAGAGCCCCCCAAAAAATAGTGGAAATGGTTTTCAGATGAAGCCTGGCTAGAAAAGCCATGTTGACTGAGGGAAACCAGGTGAAGCAGGCATTTACAGAGCAAATGCCTTTTGAAACAAATCAGCAGGTGAACAGGGTGGGGACCTCATGGTCTGATGCCACCTCCCATTCATGGAAAGCACGCCAGGGTGCCCAGATAAATGTTGATGCCTAACCTGATGAAAAAAATCCCAAAACCGGAGTGAAATCTAGGAGAGATTTTATGGTTTCTAGGAAAGCTACAGCATTGACATGCGAGTACTAAACATTTGCCCCAAAGGTGGGGATGTGCGAGTTACCCTGGCCTCACCTCTCACTGAGGGGTATTCCCTGGGTTATGGAGGGAAGCTGAGGGTCATCATCTGAAGACAATGGCCAAGATGGGCTGCTCTGCTGGGTCTTCAAGGGGAGTATCCCTTACATACCTGCTCTGCTGACTGAGATGTCTTTGCGGGGCCGTGCCACAAACAGTGTCCTGCCTTCTGCCTCAGACGACAAGATCAGAAGAAGGAAAACATTGGCAGTGGTGGAGGGTGCATGGAGAGATACTGCAAAATGTTCCCGTGAGCACCCTGCAAGAAGGGCATCACAGCAGGGTGTGTGCTGTTTGATATTCATTTAACAGCCTTTGGTCCGAGATCTCTTAAAACATTGGTTCAGTTCGTATTAGGGATACTTGCAGCCACAATGAAATGTAATTACTGTGTAGGTCATGGTCAGCTAGTGTTGGAGGAAGTGTCCACAGTTAAATCAGATCTTTCCATCTTCTCTTCATGTCTGGAAGGTGGGATGTGAGAGTTTGCTCTGCTGTCTCCAAGTCCCAGCTGTGCAGAAGGGAGCCTCAGTTCAGTAAGAGGAAGGATGCTGGAGTCATGGGTTTGCAGTTGTATCTTCCTGTAGATCATGACAGCAGGGCTGCCTCCTCCTCATATACCAAGAGCATTAGTCCTTGTGTGAGGCTGTGTGGAATCTGTTGGGAATTTGATCATGGAGTCCTGTCAGCAAGGAGGAGAACAAGAGGACTAGTGCTAGTGTCCTTGAAGGACTTGGAGAAGAAAGAGTGCCCGCCACGGACAGGGAAAAAGCAGTAGCTATGTAGAAGAATGAGCTTGGAAACAACTCTGCGGAGATCTGGGAGTTTCGGGCAGGATGGAGGACCTCTGTACGTCAAAGGCAAGGGAGAGATGGAAAACACCAGGAGATGTCCTTGGACGTGACCAGTATCACTCTGTGCTGTCAGCAAGGTGCATGTACTCATATTTTGGCTCTTCTGCAGCAACTTCCATGCAGCAGATGCTATGTCTGGTTCCTCCATTCATACCCAACCACAGCTGGATGCTACTGAGAGCAGTCATCCTTCCCTGTACAAGGACCTCAAACTCTCAGAGCTTCCTGTGAGTGTTAAATCTTTGCTTCTCCCAGAGAGGAGGGACTGGCCAGCCTTGATAGCTGTCCCCTAGAAAAACTGCAGTGCCCATGTCCACACCACAGCTCTTCTAGGTGAGAAAGGGATTAAAAACTCTGGACTTTTTACTGCTTGTCCCTGCAGGGGTCATCAAAGCAGTGTGGAAATCGCAGGTAGCTGCCAGAGAACAGTCACAATAAAGTATTTCCTGATCAGAGCTACTTTTTTGTAGGAAAAAAGCCCCTGAGATTTGCGTTTTCTATCCCTGGTTGAGATGGAGGAATTTGTTGACATGTCCAAAATGTTTTCAGAGCAAGAAAAATAATTTGCAGGCCTTGGAAGCCTGCAAAGGAGCTAAAGAAGTTCACAGGAAGCCTCACGTTGCCTCTCTGCTTTTCCATCAGCACATGCTGGTCTGTTCTGGCCTGGCTCTTTGCCACCGACATCTTCACCCCAACAAGGAACGACTTTTGAAGTCAAATCCCTACAGAAAGGCATTCAAGTCTGAGTTGTGCTGGTCCCACCAGCTTCTCAGTCTGGTCCCTGGAGCTACCGCAAGCGAGTGTGTGACACCTTTGACTATGAATGAAAAGCTGATGCTCTTTTCCTACAACCTACTCCATTGCTTGCATAATGTACACAAAAGGTAGGGGTCTGCCACTTCTCCCTTTGGCCAGGATTCTGGACTTGAAGTTTTCCTATAAGGGGAGTTGCTCCTTTTGGAGAGCCAGTGCCTGCTGATGGACCTGTTTATTTATTTATTCATTTGTTTGTTTATTTTTGCCGGTTTTGTGTGTGATGGTGAAGCTTTGGGGGTGTTCATGGCTCAAGGTATAAATGAGGAGCATTTGCTTAGAGCAACAGCTGTAGGTCAGGCTCCTGCTGGTGGTCCCACACTCTCTGCGTCGTTCTGCCACAGCTCAGCTGGCATCGAGGCTGTAGATAAGCCATAATCCCATCACTTCTCGTCTTCAGGACACTGTTGACACAGAAGGTATCCAAGGCTTGAACATTGGCCAAGTCACTTTTGTCTTCTCCAAGACCAGCAAAGCCCCCTGTACAATACTGCCTGAGGTTTATGCTTGATTACTGTATACAACCGCAATAATTAACCCAATTCCGATGTCAGTGCCCTCTGAGACACCGTGGGTTAGTTGAGGAGTGATGAGGTGAGTCATGGGAGTGTGATCCTTCATCCTCCGCAGCTGAACTGTGGACACCTGCCTGCAAGCTGCTGCAGGCGCTGAAGCAGAGATGGAGGCACACAAAGCGTCATTGTAATCCTGGTCAGGCAGCAGGTCGGGGTGGGAGGGAGGTCGTGGCATTGCTGCTGGGGAGCTGCGCCCCACGCAGAGCCAGCTCTGGCCATTGTGTTTGAGCAAGAGCTGTGCAAACAGTACTACGTGCCAGGCCAAGGCTGCTGTTGCCATTTCTTGCTGGCAGCAGCGGGTAGGAGGTTCAGAGGTACAGATTTGGGTCCAGAGTCTATGTGTGAGGAGAGCTGTGACTCATCAGAGACACGATAGGGTCTGCGGACTGAGAGCACTGTGCTGTGGTCTCAAGAGCCAAAGCAGGTGCTCTGTGTAGACCTGTGGGGCAGGAGGAGAAGAGAAGATTGAGGTGGATGCAGCAGCCTTGGGGATGTGGTGAGGTAGAGGAGCACAATCAGCTGGTTTCCTTCCTGCACATTTGAGCACAGGCACTCTGCCCCTGCACCAGCTCCTTCCTCCTACCCTGATGTCTGTGATGTCCTTTCTCATCTTGCTTCTGGGCCTGGAGAGCTCTCGCGTTTCCTGTGGGTTCTGAGGGCATGTTTGTCCCAGAGGGATCAAGTGCACAATTGCTGCACATAGTCCTACAGAAAGCCAAGGAGCTGAAGAAGGTGGGGATGGAGTCCCTTGTGTGCTGTGAGTTTGGACATGGGTGTTTTACCAAGTCCTGTTGGTGGACTCTCCTGCATCCAGCAGAGCAAGGGCACTCCCGGTTGCACCTCTGAAGACAGATGATGGTGGTTCAATGAGGGGAATGGGTGCACTGCGCCTGCATGTGAACGTACACCCCGCTGATATGCAACAGTTGCATAAGTGGTCCAAATACCAGTTCTTTGCAGATATTAAAACATCCCCTCCAAAAATCCTGGCTGAGGCTGTGGCAGCTGAGGCTGGAGTAGGTGTATTTGCTGAGCAAGCAGCTGCTGTTTGCACAGAGGGGATTCATTAGGCTACAGTTTGGTTGAACTTTGTTCTGGGGATCACGTATTACAACTTGTGCCGCCTCACCTCCGTTGCCTTGGCTTTGGATCCCTTTCTCTGCCATGGGCCAAGAGAATGACCTTCCTCTGGGCCGTGTGTTTCTGTCTTTGCTGCTTTATGGTTCTTCCTCACACCTATCCTCTGTATCTTCTGCAATACGCTGCCCCAAGGCAGCTGGTAGGACACCTTGGAGGGGCTCCTGTCCCTCCAGACATGAAGCTGGGTAGGGTTGATGCATACTTTGGTACCTCTCTCTGGGATGCTGTAAGGAGGTGAGAGGTGATATTTAGGAAAACAACTAATTCTCTGCAAAACAAGGCTGAGGGAAATGCAGATGCCATGCAATGTTGATCAAAAGAAGAAGCATGCAGGCATAGCGGTACATATTACCACTGTTGGGACCAGTCATGCAGCAGAGTGGGCTCTAGACTTACTTCCCCTGTCAGAGAGAATATCTGTGTTGAAGTTAGCCCAAGGGAGACACTTGTCCAGTGAGGCTCATTAGTTCAACCAGCTGGGAAGCAGGGAGGAACGGAATAGAAACTGCTGCAAACAGTCTAGTGGGACACCACATGCCAGGAGGACCCTTCCCCTCTTCACATCTATTGACCCCATCATTGAAAAGGCAATTTCTGAATGAGAATGCAGGTCTAGGTTGGGAAGAAGTTGAGAGATGAGGAACTGAGCCCCAGGAGAGAGAGACTAGAGCACTTCAGGCTTTTTCGCATTGAAAGGAATGCGCTTAGAATCATAGAATCATAGAATCATTTAGGTTGGAAAAGACCTTAAGATCATCGGGTCCAACTATCAACCATGCCCACTAAACCATGTCCCGAAGTGCCTTTCTACGTGCTTTTTGAATACCTCCAGGGATGGTGACTCAACCATGCCCTCAACAGGTCAGCCTGTTCCAATGCCTGACAACCCTTTCAGTAAAGAAATTTTTCCTAATATCCAATCTAAACCTCCCCTGCCGCAACTTAAGGCCATTTCCTCTCATCCTATCTCCAGCCACCTGACAGAAGAGACCAGCACCCACCTCGCTACAACCCCCTTTCAGGTAGTTGTAGAGAGCAATAAGGTCTCCCCTCAGCCTCCTTTTCTCCAGACTAAACAACCCCAGTTCCCTCAGCTGCTCCTCATAAGACTTGTGCTCCAGGCCCCTCACCAACTTGGTTGCCCTTCTTAAAGTGGCCTAGGATGAATTACAGGCATGAGGTCAGATACCAAGGAATGGAAGAGCTCTGCTGGT